CAAAATTTAGATTTGACTTGCAGCCGGAGAATCGACCTACAGACCAGAAAAAAAAACTAAACTGAAACAGAGATGGAACAAAAACAACCAGTTACGGGATTATGCATTCAATGCATTGTCGGTCAATGGAGATTCGACTTGCAGACTTTTTGACTTGCAGCCACCATTCCAATACGGATTAATTCCTTAAGTAGAGGGTCCACTGTAGACACAGTAGTGGAAGAGAACATATCAATAAAGGAACAACTTATGGAACAACTGAGAAATTATGTGTTGACAGAACGGCAAACATCACTGAGGGGGAAAAATAGTAAACCATATTAGCCAGAACACAGAAAGACAAAGGCTCTCCGATTTTAGCCAGTTACAAAGTAAACCAGTAAAAGATCTACAGAGTGATGCAAATATAGTCATCAGAAAAATCCCAGCAATACGCCACACGGAACAAACCCCTCATGCATAGCACAACTCCCATAACAACCCTGGAACTTGGAACAAGCTGCAAAAAATCCAGAAACCTCCTAGTACTCCAAAATGGAAAATTTGGCTGGAAAGAAAAATAAATTACATACAGACATTAGCAACCTAAAACACTTGAAAGATTCAGAACTTAAAAATGAAAAAAATAAAAACCAGACTGTGCAAAATATATAACCTAAAAAGGAAAACAATAGTTGAAAATATGGAAGAATTAAAGCAGCATGTAACAAGTACAGCAAAGAAAATTGAAATATATGATGGACACTTGAAACAACCTACATAAAACATGCAATTTTAAAATAACCGACTATTGTTCTGTACATCACTAGGAGAAAATGCAGCGCAAATGAAATTAAACTCGTGTAAAGATGATGCTCCAAAATTTTGGAAATAAATGTGGGAAAGCCCAATTGGACATAACAAAGCCGTCTCATGGATTAAAAAACATTTGTAAAGAAACTCAAGGAACACAAATGGATGATATTGTAATAACAACTGAAATGATTAAGAGGCAAGTAAAGGCTGTGAAAAGTGGAGTACACCTGGTCCAGACGAGCTGCATGGATTTTGGTTAAAGCATTAAATCTCCATCAACACATAGCAGTGCAGTTTAATCATTTACTCTAAAATTCTACAACTGAAGATTGGATGACAACAGGCCATTTCTGATCATAAAAGATTGTCAAAAGGGCAATGAACCCAGTAATTATCAACCAATTATTTGTCTTACAACAATGTTCAAGCTCCTCTCAGGAGTATTTGCAAGATCAATATATAATTACTTAACTGAAAACTCCCTGTACCCAAGGGAACAGAAAGGGAACTTTAAAAAGTCAAGAGACATGAGAGATCAGCTGCTTATTGATAAAAGGAATGCAAAAACCTTAACATGGCCTGAATAGACTATAAAAAGCATTTGACTCATTGCCACACAGTTGGATTAACCCCTGCCTTAAAATGTTTGGGATTAGTAAAACCATTGAGAAATTCCTCAAGAAAAACATGGAAAAATGGAAAACTGTCTTAACAGCAAATGGTGAAAAAACTGGGGAAGTTTAACATTAAAAGAGGAATATTTCAAGGGAAGTCTTTGTCACCGCTGCTGTTTAACATCTCACTAATTCCCAAGTCAATAATTATTTTAAAAAACTGGATTGGGCTACCATAGTTCAGAACAGGCATGAAAAATCAATCATCTCTTATACATGACCTAAAACTATATGCAAAACTTCCACAGAGATAGAATCACTGCTAAACAGTGCAAATATCTAGTGAACATATCCAAATGTGTAGCTCTGTCTGTGCACCATGGCAAGGTCCAAAAAATAGATGGAATAGAGTTTAAAAATGGCAATATTATAAAATCACTATCAAGTGATAAAAATTATAAATACCTTGGAATACTAGAAGCAAATAACATTGTGCACACAAAAGTTAAAGAATTGACAGAAAGGGTATATATCAAAAGGCTGGACAATCTTAAAACCAAAATTAAATGGTGGAAATAAAATCGAAGTCATAAACACATAAACACATGAATGGCAGTTCCATTAATTAGACAACCAGCTGGAATAATAGATTAGAAATTAAAACAAATTAGAAAAATTGGATCTGAAAACACTGAAACTCATGAAAATACATCACACACTACATCCAAAAAGGACCATGGATTGCTGCAAATTCCAAAAGATCTCCTGTATGGAGAATTAGTGCAGGGAAAGCGCCACAGAGGGAGAACACAGCTGCAATACAAGGATATCTGCAAGTTGGATCTGAAGGCCTTAGGAATGGACCTCAACAGATGGGGAACCTGGACATCTGAGCGTTCAGCCTGGGGCAGGCGGTGCATCATGGCCTCTCCCATTTTGAAGAGACACTTGTCCTGCAGGCCGAGGCAAAAAGGCAGTCCTGAAACCAGCAAAATCAGGGAACTGGACAGAGGACAGATTGTATTTGTCTTCCGTGTGGAAGGGATTGTCACTCTCAAATTGGCCTTCTCAGCCACACTAGACGCTGTTCCAAGTCCTCTATTCAGAGCACGTTGCCATAGTCTCTTGTGACTGAAAGATGCCTAATTTGCTGCAAATACAGCAGATAGTAGAGGAGGAGAAAATAAATCTAAATGATTATATCTGTACAAGCAGAGAAAAATTACTTAAGGCCGTGAAAATGGTGAATATTTTGAAAACAACAGAAACAAAGGCTCAATATAGGAAACAACAATTTGCAAATAAATTAAGCAGCTTGAAAAATAAACCATTACATGGACAACACCAGAGAATTGTTGATGGAAAGCATGATCATAATTCAACATGTGTGTAGCTAAAACTGGGAACCCTTAGGAAAAAAACCAAAGGCTTGATTTTTGTTGCATAAGAACAAGCACTCCAAACCAATGTGCTGAAAGCTGAGATCCAAGGAATTAGTGCTAACAGCAGCTGTTGACTCTGCCAAGAAAAAGATGAAACTGTGTCACACCTCATCTGCCACCATCCAAAGATTGCACAAACAGATTACAAAATTAGACATGATAGAGTGCCAAAATTAGTGCACTGGTCATTGTGCAAAAAATAAAACTCACCAGCCTCCAAAAACACCTGGGAACATCAGGTAGAGAAGGTGTCAGAAAATGAAGACGTCCAGTTCTTGTGGGATTTCCAAATCCAAACCAATAGACACCTTGAACATAACACACCAGACATAGTAGTAATACTCGTATGATATCCTATTAGAATCACTCTTTGACTTGGAACTATCTCTCGCTAATTCTCATATTAAAGCCAAGTTATATCAGTGGGAGTCTGAACATTTAAGAGACCTCCTTAATCCTACATGTTCTCCAAACTTTTTCAGTTTATCCCCTGCTTCAGAATATCCTTTAAATTATTTCAGTCTACTGATTAATCCTACGTTGCGGAGAGCTTTTATGCTAGCCCGGTTTAACATCTTTCCATCAGTCATGCATTTTGTCTGTTTTTCCAAAATCCCTAAAGACAAAGGACTTTGCCTTTTCTGTCATTTGTTGCCTGACACTAGACCATATTCTATTTAAATGCCCAGCACACCACTCCCATCAGAAACTCTTTTTAAATTATTGACTGATTCCTTTTTCGGATCACTTCCCTGATCTTCTCCCTATTTTCTTGAGTGACCACTGTGCTCCCCTCACTGTGGCGGTGGCAAACTAATTAACTGAAATTTTGAAACTTATTGTTGCCTTATAATGTTGAACTTTCCTTTACCCCACTTTCCAGGTAATACGTATCACTTCTCATCATTTTGTACTTCATCAGTATTGATTGTGTCTATTTGCCCTGAGTTTCTTTCCTGTTTATTTCCCTGTCCACACTGTTTAATGCCAATAAAGGTTAACGTATCGTATAGTAGTAATAGAACAAAGAAATGTCTGGATCGTTGACATGGCAATTCCAGGGAATGCCAGAGCTGAAAATAAAGAATTAGGAAAACCAACAAAATAAAGAGACCCGGCCATCAAAACATCTCACTTATGGATGAAATACACTTCAGTGGTTCCCATTGTCATCGGAGGTTTGGGAACAATATGAAGAAACTTCACACAGTACTATAAGCAGTTGCAGATCTTAGAAATAACACCATCAGAGCTACAAAAATTTGCAATATTAGGAACATCATACATACTGCACCAATATTTCGCACATACTTAGGTTTTTGGTTAAAACTTGTATCTGTTACATAATACCAGCCAATGTTTTTATAATTTTGATTGACTGTGCCTGGTGTTTTTAGCAGCAGCAACAACAACTGTACCAGAAAGGACATTAAAAAAATTGAGATGCTTTTTGAGAATAGATTTTTTAAAAACAGACCAATGGTTCATTGCTAAAACAAGCTAAGTGCTGTTATATAAAAGAAATAAAGATAAGAGGATTATAGTTTTTAAATAATGTGGTCATTGTTTATTCTATACTAAAACCAAAGGTGTAATTCAAAGATGTTCCGTACACAATCAAACTCTTACCTTGTGACTTTTCAATTTCAGTATATTTGATAGCACGTTAAAATATGTGGTATTTACTATGTTTAGTTATTCACAGAGGTAAAAGTCCAGAGGTCTATTGTGTTTCAGAAAGGGAGCTATCAAGTAAACCTCCCCAACATTAGTACTGTATAAGAATTCTTCCCCTATAACCCTCAGCTTTAGCTGGCTGTACTTCAAGCCTTACTCTCTCTACTGTCTACTACAGAAACACAAGTGAATACACACACAAGGATCTTCTTAACTGTGATACTTGTTGCATTGGACTTCTCTAAAGTTAAGCCCTTTTAGGAGGCTATATAGTCTACAAGTGGATCCAAAGATATTGCCCAACTGTTGATTTTGGATGTGTATTTTCTATGGACTGATTTGGCAGTTTTTGTTTCTGTGTGTAGATCAGGTTTTCTTGCATGCTTTTTTACTCTTTCCCTGGCATTCCACAAATATTTCATCTAAATGAATTTTAAAATACAGTAACCATAAGTATTGTGCTTTATTGCAGGGGCTGGTGTTTTTTTCCTCTCTTGCATGGAAGGCGAGAAGATCAGCTTTCTTTTTGATTGCATCGTTCATGGCATCTCTCCAACAAAAGGTCCCTTTGGCTTACGTCCAGTCCTACCAGGTTAATAATTCAAGTATAGCATAACTACTTAAAGAGAAGGGAACTCACCTTGAATAGTACGTTTTGCTCTGATTCAAATAAACTCCAAATGCCAGAACTGGAAGCGCAAAATGGTTGCCATTGCTAAATGTACATTTTGACATGTCCATTTCCATCCACTTTGTGGCTCATAATGTTTCCAGCTAGATTTTTCTTGGGATTATTTAGGCAAATAAAAGGGGCCCCAAAATTAACTGTCAGTCAGTCTGACTGACTTTTATGCAAACTGTTTTCTGCACTTGTGTCAGACTAGACTGAAAATTGCTAGTCAAACTGTTAAACCAGAGGGTTTGAAATAAACAGATTTGTCAGGTTTGTGTGTTCTTCCTTTTTAGGCAACCCTGGGGAATAAGCAGTGCTTCTAGATGAGGCTTTTATCGTACGTAATGTATAGTTTGCTTCCTTCATGGAAATTTATTGAGCTCCAGATATGGTCACCTTCAATTTGCAGCCCTCCTGTGTTTTATCATTGCTTCTATTATTTTTAACCATACAAAAGCTGTTAAGGAAAAGAACTGTATAATGACTTTGAATTACAAGCAGTAGGAGCCCTCTGTCCAGAAACATACAGAGTTGCCGTTAGCTTAATTCATCAGATTATCCTGCTCTTGCTCAGTCTGCCAATTGTAAATGAATAGTGCCTGTTTTTAATTTTTAAATATTTAATTGTCAATCAATCCAGCAGCTCCTGTAGTAAACTTAAGTACTATTAAGTGGTGTTTGCTCTCTACCCCTTCCCCTCCCTGGCACATTGCTGTAGCAGCAGCATTCTAGATGTTATAAAATATGAGAACGAAGGTAATAAAAAGGGAAAAGATGGGGACCTACCTGCTCGCCCGTATTTGCTGTTGCCCAAGCTTAAGCAAAATGAGCTGGTCTAAGTGGCAGGGAGAAGAACCCATTTTTACCACTAACTGGCTAATACCCACATTTCTACTCTGAATTTTATTTCAAACTGGAGAAAAGCTAACAGGTAGACGGAATCCAGTTTGGAATGTGTGCACATACTATTAGATTGTCAGGTTTCTTGCCTAAACATCACTGGTGTCACAGAGTGAGACTAATTTCCCTTAACAAACAGAAATTCTTGGTTGGTGTGCACAAGATTATATCTTTTAAAAAATGGAGACAAGAACACCTACACTTTGAAATATTCCAAGCAATCACAAAGTTTTCACAAACGGTCTAGATGAAGATTCTGATATGTATCTTACCAGATCAAATAAGGACAAAGCTTAAAGGAAGGTAATCTCTATTTCACCGCCCACGTTCTGTCAGTTGCTGAAAGCAGTGCCTATGTTTAACTGTTCAAAGATTTCTCAAAAATATAATAATAACTGCTATCAGTATTTTGTGTAGTTGTTCTTTCATGGAAAAAGGAGGGAGGATTATCTTGTCTGCTGAGAAAACATGGATCTCTTAGTAAAAGCAATTCTTCTAGTCATAGCAGATGTCCTTCCAGTGTGATGTGTCAGCTAGGATGGATGAAGTACTGGGGAGTACCATTCCTTCTAATACTGAATATGAAGAATCCTATGATAATTAGGCCGAACTACAACAGATTTTAATTGCATATTTAAAAATATTTTAAAAGCCCCAAATATGGTAATTCTTCTTTACAGAGAGATTGCTTCTGCAGTCTCACCATTCTGTTGCCTTTTTCTGCACCTTTTTCAGCTGTACAGTATCTTTTTATTCAGTTCAATTCAATCAAACCTTTATTGGCATACACAAAATACCTAATCAAAACTACATTCAGTAAAACCTGTTTGCAGCTTTCTGGAACAATATCAAAGTTTGTTTAGATTAAAAGTAGTTTTACTATTTATGCCACAAGACACACTCTCCACCCTATCCTATGTACCTTGTAATAATAATAATTAAAAATGTTATTGTCGTAATTAGCCTAGTGATTACATCAGAGGATCCATAAACCTGAGCAGGCAGGGAGTGCTGGTTCAAAATGTGCTATTTTTGCCTGTTTACTCTGTGTGCTAAGAAGCATGCTACTTTCTCGACCCTGTCTTCCACCCTATCATTTAACAGAAGTGCATTCTGTCTATATCTGACCACCCTCTTACCTTGAGCAATATTGAGCCCAGATATTGAGCGTGGGGTTCTGAATAGCGAGGGCAATATAAACACATGTGTACCAGTATCTTTTTAATGAAGTGGCAATCAGAACTACACAGAGTATTCAAACCCTTTTATGCTTTAGATTTTTGGACAGGCATTATGAAATTACCATTTTAATTTTTATCTTTTTTGTATGATCCCTAGCATGGGCTGGTTTTTTCACAGTTGCTGTACAATGGACGTACATTTTAATTGAGTCTTCCAACATGAAGACTTTTTCTTTTTTCTTTTTCTTGGCCAGTCACTAGCAGTTCATACACTGATCAGGGTGTATCTTCTTGTTTACATGAGCATCACTTTTGCATTTGGTTCTTTTGAAATTCAATTATTATTTATTGCCCAGGCACCTAGTTGGAGTGATCCTTTTGGTGAGTCTAGCAATCCGACTTTTTCTCTTTACCTCACTGAATAATTTTGTGTGCATACCTAAAATAAGACTGACACCAGCTGTGTTGTTTTATCTAGTAAGGTGAATGGTTAAATAAAGCTAATCTCAGTTATAATCTGATGGTATCTTTTTGAAGATCCTAATGCAAATCCCACATGCATGGAAGAGAGAGTGGCCCATGAAGCTTTGCAGTTAGAGAAACGCCTAAGCCTCCTATCCCATACAAGTTTCCATGGCAGAGGAGGTAAGAACATGATATAGTTCAGTTTTTTACAAAATGTTATTTCCTAAAGCGTCTGTGTTAGAAACTGAGGCGTCTAGTTATTATCCATCCTCAGAGCTTTAGAAAGATAATGGAAGAGGAATTGTCATTTTATCATTTAGTGGCTGGAATCTTTCTGCTCAGCATAGTAAGTGGCAACTAGAATAGGCTTCTTGAATCAGTGAAACTTACAGAGGAGTTGACTCACCAAATTCCCACTGAGCCAATGAGCATACTCTAATAACTTATTACAGTAAGCAAAAGGATTTCAGTTATCTCTGTAAGTCTGCATCTTCCTTTAGCCTGGCATATTTCTGTCTACCGTATGTTGGTGGGGATAAAGGGCAGTACTGTGACATTCAAGTTAGAGCTGTTCACTGAGGAGAGCCGCCTGCCGTTACCATCGATTGTGAGAACTGTCATCACCGAAATTTGTCAGAATCAGCTTGGTAGAGTATCTGGTCACAGCAGGAGTTTATTAAGGTTAAGTTTTATTGTTCAGATCTAGGAAGGATCCTGCTGGGTACTGTGGAAGAATTGTCTTGGAGTGGATTGGGTTGATGTCAGATAGGGCTTTTCTATTTGTCTTTGTGGGGGGGTTTGGACAACAAATCCCAAAATTCTGTGAGTCCCACCTAACAGACATAAAGACACCTAAATGTGGATCATCTGGAAGAAAGACCTAAGCTGGAAGGCTTCATGGCCTAGCTCTGCCTCAAAAAGGAAGCTGCTTTGGTTCTTGTTGGGAGCTTGCCTTTTGAATAAGAAGCTGGGCTGAGCTAGGCCATAAACCTTCCAGCATAGACTTGACTGTTTTGGAAAGACAGCAATCAAAATTTCTAAGAGCTATATTACAGCTCCCTACATGTGCATCAAACACAGCCATAAAGTTGGAAGCTGGGCTAGTAACTGTTGAGGCCAGGCTATGGATAGCTGCTGTAACATATTGGCTAAAATTGAATCATAATACCTCAGGGCTAGTCCATTTGACATTACAAGATTGTTTTGTCCCAACATGGCGAAAAATGCTGGAATGTAAGCTGTGGTATTATGGATTTTCACAACAATATCTACTGTCAATGAATATGATCCAAGCAAAAATTTTGATTAAGCAAAGGATCCTAGATATAGAAAGACAACATGATATAAACAAGGCCAAAGGATTTATTAAAATAAACTCCCTGAATAGATTGCTACCTATGCCGTACTTAAATGATTTAGAGTATCCTGAAAATAGAAGGGCCTTCATCTTGTTGCCATCTGCGGTGTTGCTGGGAAGGTACAATAATACCCCCTACGAGAGTTGGTTATGTGTATGTGGTGAGGGGACTATAGAGACACTGAGTCATGTTATCCTAGAGTGTAAAATTTATGAGCAGATTCAGGAATGGCTCATAAAACCTTGTAAACCTTCTTTGGATGGCAGAGATAGAAAGGAATGCCTCCAGAAGCTTTTGGAAGATAGGAATAAGGAGGTTACAAATAGAGTGGCCAAGTTTGGACAGCTAGCAATAAAATTAAGGGATAGCTGGATGAATGATAATGATAGAATAGGAAGTACTGGAGATATGGTATAGAATATGGAGCTGATTTTAGTCTAAATGGTTATCAGATGTACAATCTTACCGCTGTTATGTCATTTTGTTGTGCATTTTAATGTATATGTATATGTTTGTGGTTTTAACGGTCAGCGGATATAACCATTTTTTATGCTGTGGGAATACCTCATACCCCATCTGAGGACCCACCTGAAACGACTTGGTTTTTAGAATTGAAATACATGTACATTTTAATCCTCTTGTATTATGTTTTTAATTCAGCATTTTATAGAAAGTATGTATTTGTATATGTACTTTTAAAACCTGCTAGTTCTGTGGATGTTCAGTTGGCTTCAAGCAAGTGTATATTTTTATATTTATACCTATGTTTTAAATCTGTGGATGTTGGATGACCAAAGTGGTCAAAACAATAAAGCTATGTCTGTCTGTCTGTCTGTCTGTCTGTCTGTCTGTCTGTCTGTCTGTCTGTCTGTCTGTCTGTTATCTATCTATCTATCTATCTATCTATCTATCTATCTATCTATCTAAGCTGGGCTGAGCTAGGCCATAAGCCTTCCAGCATAGACCTTTGTCCCGGGTGAGCCACTTCAGGTATCTGTAGTAACCTCTCTGTCAGGTGGGAGTTCCAGATTGGAGAATTCTGGAATTTGTAGTAAAAAAAATACCAAATAAATGGCATATCACCAATGTCAGAGGATTTATTGGGTATGCTGAAGCATGAGTTGAAGAGAGAGAGAGAGTAATCAGCCAGAAGATGATCTAGCCAAGGCTCCACATAAAGCATTCATACTTCTCACCTAGTATGTTCAACCATCAGAAATGGTTTAGCCCTAAAGATACCACAGTCCTTGCATCTGCCTTGGCAAACTCTGAAGTGCCTTATGAATTGAGAGATGGCCCCGATATTGTCTCGTTTTCCCATGCCCAACTTGAATCACTCCTCTCCCTTCTTTTGTCTTAGGTGAAGACAGAAGTTTATCAAGTTCATCTTCAGATACAAGCCACTCTGATGCTAGCATTGGGAGCAGGTTGACTATTTGGCCTGACCAGTCTTCTTCAACGAGTACTTCTCAAGAGAGCCATGGACTGGCTGCTGCAAAATGCATTCACCTTGGGGAGGAAAAGGCCCATTCAGAAGGCACTCGCAGCACCACCAAGCTACCCCCTAAGAATCTTCGCTCTAGGCAACTACAGGAAATAGGCCGCCAGAGTTCTTCTGACAGTGGAATAGCTACAGGGAGCCATTCTTCCTACTCTGGAAGTTTTTCCTCCTACACTGGGAGCCTGGATATTTGTCATGGTGATGAATTTGGGTCACTGTTGAGCCTGCCACTGAACCTTCCTTCAGACCAGTGTGTGTGTACCTGCCCACCTGCAGAGCATCAGAGGAGCCCTGGCCTGGAGTACCAGGTTCCCAGCTCTCTTAGACATACCTATGACACGCCCAGGAGTTTGTTGCAGCTATCTGCTAAAAATGTACAAAGTTCACATACAGATTCCTCACTGTCCAAGGACCAGGTACCTCAAGGGATAGGTGACCATAGCACAGTGTCACCACATCTGGAACTTCAAGCTGCTTGGGAATGTGGCCAAGAGAAGGGGATGCAGGCAACCTTTCCCCTAGAAAATACCAAAGACTCATTCCTCAAAGAAAGCACAGATCACATTTCAAGGTGGCCACATCTGAGGCTGCAAGGACAGGGATTGGATTCTAGAAATACTGAGGTGACACTAAGTGGAATCTCTAGCACCCCATGTGAAATATGCAACTCTTCTCTAGGGACAATGCGAGCTGTCTTTTCATCTTGCCCAGTTTGTGGTGGGCTAAAGGTAAGCAGGTGCAGAGAGCACATACTAAATGTATTATGCAGTTTTGTATATTGATGAGTAAATGAAAGTTATCAGTTTAATAACTACCAGAAGAATAGTAGAAAAATTAATAGACAGTTAACTTTTACTTTGCTGCATTTATATCTCACCCTTTTTCCAAGGTAGCATGCTTAGGCTTTTTGTGAAGTCTCCAGTTCACAATCTGACCAAAGACTCCTACATGTTGAGTTGTAGCAAGATCATTATGCCATCCCATAAGGAGCATGCAGGAAGGTTGCCCTAAAGATATATATATAATTAGCAAGGTAGCTAACAGGATGTTTCTCATACTACGGATGGTCTGAAAATGCCTATTTCCCTTTAGCCTGGATCTATGCATCACCATTTTAAAGAGCCAAAATGTCCTTGAAGATTAAGGCTGTAAAATTCGGAAGAAACAAACTATCTCATTTTCAATGGTAAAAACTTTTTATTATACTAAAGGAATCCTAGCAGGTATTTTGAGACCACCTGTAGAATGAGAAACGCTCTATAAGCTACCTTGTGATTACATTTAATTGTGTTATTTCCTTGGGGTAGCTTTCCTACATGCTGCATATGAGATGGACTACCATAGTTATGACCATCCTGGGCTCAGGATGACAGGAGTTATAGTTTTACACACCTGGAGAGTGCCAGATTCAAGAAGACAGCCTTAAGCATTAGCATGATTCTGCTGTTCGAGATATCTACATGTGAAAAAATTTATGATGCTGAGCATTGTATTCAGTTCCATGTAAGTCAAAGTTCTAAGTAAAATTCTTGGGGTACCTAAATCATTTAGAGTGTGGTGACTGTTCTGATTAATAATACATGAAGCACAGTATATGGGGAATAAATTAAGGATTGTTAGGCAAAACGGTCAGTCTCTTTCTAAAATCAGCTGTGCTTTGAGTTTGGTGTGTCTTTTATTGTGAAGGCTAGCTCATAATTTCTAAAATGCTCAGTCTTCAAAGGCTAGTACACCAGAAAAACAGCAAGAATCTGTAGTTACTTTTAATTTTCCAGAGATAAATGGATGGTCACTGTGTGAAGCAAGATTATTGACAGTATTCCTCTCACTTATATTTATATTATTGTTGGATTAATTTCATTTCTAGGTTGTTTTTTCCCTTTAGGGCAGCTGTGCCCAAACTTTTTAGCCCCATGGACTAGCTGGGGAAGGCAGAGCACTTCCCTGCGCTTGTGCACATGCGTGAAGGAGCGCTCTCTTGCAGGCACGCGTGCTTCTTTGCATGCACGAAGGGTGGCGCAGCGCTTGTGCAGGGGCGCATGCGCAAAGGGCAGCACAGTGCTTGTGAAGGGGCGCACTGACAGGAGTGCATGCAGGGGTGGAGGGGAGGTCTCTCTCCGCGGCCTGGTCCAGCTCAGGTCACAGAACGGCACCGGGCTGCGGACCGGGGTTTGGGGACCTCTGCTTTAGGGCAGTGGTTCTTAACCTTGGGTTACTCAGGTGTTTTTGGACTGCAACTCCCAGAAGCCTTCACCACCAGCTGTGCTGGCTGGGGTTTCTGGGAGTTGCAGTTCAAAAACACCTGAGTAACCCAAGGTTAAGAACCACTGCTTTAGGGGACCCAAGGCAGCTCACAATGATTGAAACAGGTCAGGCGAAATGCAGAATGAAACCTTAATGTCTTCTTACTCATATTGCAGTTGTTACCTATTACAATTTTTGTAGCAAATATGTAGCAATAACTGGCTTTTTTTCTGGGGTTGGAAGTACAGTGGTGGCCCGCTTAACGATTACCCCGCTTGATGACGAATCCGCGTCACAACGATGTTTTTGTGATCGCTATTGTGATCGCAAAATGATGTTTTAATGGGCAAAATCCGCTTGACAACGATCGGTTCCCTGCTTTAGGAACCGATTCTTCACATTACGACGATCAAAACAGCTGATTGTCAGGTTTTCAAAATGGCCGCCGGCAGTTCAAAATGGCTCCCCACTGTGTTCAGGATGGATTTTTCACTGCACAGGCATCAGAAAATGGCCACTCTATGGAGGATCTTCGCTGGACGCTGGGGTATTTCGCCCATTGGAACGCATTGAACCGGTTTTCAATACATTTCAATGGGCTTTTTTATTTTGCTTGACGAGGATTTCGCTCTGCAGCCATTTTGCTGGAACGGATTATCCTCGTCAAGCGAGGCACCACTGTATAAGAAAAAGATTACATGCTGAATTTCTGTAATCTGTTTATCTGTTAAATGCACAGGAACTTAGTTTTGGCCACACTATATCTATAGAGGCATGTTTCTTTTTCTCTGACCCCAAAGGACTGAGCATTTTAAAATGTGGTAGATCTTTATTATTTTTCTTCCATATGTGACAGCAATAATTGTAAAATTCATTTCTCTCTGGTCTCTCTGCTGTTACTATCACCTTAGAGTTAGTTACGACTGTTTTGGACTTTTGTTTTGCCACATTTTTGTTGTAGTTGGGGAATGAGGCTGCTGAGGTGTTATTGAAATCGTGAAAATTGCAGCGACTAAAGTGCCATTGTTACTTGGCTTCCAGCATGAACAAAGAAGATTTGCCTGGATAGCTTAGTGAGTTGAGTACCTGGCTGCAGAGCAGGAGGTCAGTTCTGCCTCCTAAGAGAAAAGCCAGCTTCTGTAGATTCTCTGTATAACCCAGAGCTGCCCCCAGAAAAATGGTAAATGGTAAATCACTTCTGAGTATTCCCTACTTAGAAAACCTTGGGCAGGGCTGCTGTAAGTCAGAATTGTAGTTGTCTATTGTCACTCTCAGAAATGGTAGCAAATAAAGAAAAGAAAGAGAAGGGAGCAAGGACATGGTACCACTTAAGATGAACAGCTCCCTCCTTCAAAAATGTGACAGCATTTACCAATACAGTTGTGCAGTAGGTACAATGATATAAGTTTCTGTTTATATAAATTATACCATTCTGTTTCAGAAAAAGACATGTTCTAAGAATATAATTTTGTTTTAAATTACTGCTATGGGAAATGTAAATAAAAATGAGTTTTAACGTCTTCGCGCATGGTCCTTTCTAGAGTTAAGGTGGGACTACATGGCAGTTTATCCCCTGGTTTGTGCTGGAGTTCAGTCTTTTTTTTTGTGGGCAAAGCATAATAATAGTAAGTTGTTTGAAGAAGAGACAAGCTTTTGGTCATTCTCTGTCCTTCCATGGCTCAAAACAACCAGACTTCAGAGGGCTGTTTCTGCTGTAGTGCTATAATATACTGTGCTGTAGGGTATTCAATACAGGAGGAACATCTCCCTCAAGAGATGTTCCTCTTGGCTGTCCTCTGAACAATTTTTTTAAATTATATTTTTCTAATTTAGCACTATGTCACATAAGCACTACAATTCCACAAGTTGGTATTTATTTATTTATTATTTTATTTGTTCAAATTCTGCAAGTTGAACAAGGCCACTCTGGGCGGTTTAAAAATTAAGACATAAAATAAAGACATATGTCAAATTACAACTATCAGTAGTGGACATAAACTCAACATTAATCAAATTCAAATACAGTCAAAAATCAAAATCAAAAACAGAACATACACCATAAAATAAAATCAACAAAGACATAAATGATTAGAGATAAGATGGTGGAACAGAAATATACACTAGAGGGTGCAATACATTATTCAGATGCCAATTCCAGCAAAGTCTACCTAAAAAGCAATGTCTTCAAAGATCGTTTAAAAATTGCCAATGAAGGGGCAAGATGGATATCAGGTGGGAGATCATTCCAGAGGTCAAGGGCGACTGCTAGGAAGGCCCAGTTTCTAGTCTTCTCTTTCCCGGCTTCTTATATCAATAAGCACTGTGTCACTTGCCAAAAACAATTTTTAAAGAGGCAGGAAAGAGGGCAGTGTTAATGACAGATCAGGGTAGATGTCCTGCGATACCGGAGAGAATTGTAGTGATTAGAGGTGATGTGGACTCTTGACCCAAAAGTTTCCCAGGATAATTAAACATTCCGTATAAGTAACTACAGCAATTTAACTGCTGTAGGAAACTTCACATTAATCTGAATCAACCAATGACAACAGGAGTTTAAAACATGTTTATGCCTTTCATAGTTTTTTATATTTTTGATTTTTTTATTAAACAAAATACCCAAGACATTTTTTTACAATTACCGTACATTAACACAATAATAAAGGAAAGTGAGACAGTGTCTCTATTCACATATCATTTTTTAAAAATTACTTGCTTATTTTCACTTATTATTTAATTGCCCCATTTCTCTCCAGAAATACAAAATAGTCTTTCCCTATCTCAAATACATGTAACAAGAATGATTTCCACATGTCTAAAATCATTGATGCACAATACTCCTTTTCTTATTTTGCACTTACAAGTTAGTTTATTATTAATAGCAATGTTTCACATTTTCTTATACCAATCTTCATATTAAGTTGGTTATTGTATCTCCAGTTCTTTCAGCAAAACAATCTTTGAAGACGTCTTATACAGTGGACCCTCAACTTACAGACGGCTCGACTTACAGACTTTTCGAGTTACAGACTTCTCTGGCCGCAAAATTTAGGTTCGACTTGCAGCCGGAGGATCGACCTACAGACCAGAAAAAAACTAAACTGGAACAAAAATGGAACAAAAACAACCAGTTACGTGATTAATCGGTTTTCAATGCACTGTCGGTCAATGGAGACTCGATCTACAGACTTTTCGACCTGCAGCCACCGTTCCAATACGGATTAATTCCATAAGTAGAGGGTCCACTGTACATCCTTACCCAAAAGGTCATTTATCTCTTTAAAAGTTTGTGACTAGTCCTTTTTCTCTCTTTTCATGAGACCACTACAGTACATATGCAAATAAGTCGCCTTTTCTTTTTTACTTCCCCAGCATAAAGATGATACTGTTTCATTAAATTCATTTTAACAGGTGTTAGGTACCATGTTCATGTGACTTTGTGACTTTTTTTTACCCTTACTGACATTTTTCATTATTCCTCTATTCT